GACTCTAGATTCATGGAAAGAGAGGGACTGAGTGTTCGTGGCCAGGAGGCAGGCTTGCAGAAAGTGCCCTTTAGTAGTTTAAATTATTATATATTACTGAATGTTCTTGTGTATATCTTCCCCCTCCCAAATAAAACCAGGGGAATAGAAGCAAACACTATTAATGATGATGTAGAGAGGAGATTTTAATCATTGCAATGAAACGATGGTGTAAAGCCAATGTTCTCCCATGTAAATTATCACTCAGTTCACAATTAAAAAAAAAAAAAAAAGTAAAAGGATTAGTCTAATGTAACTTTCTCCCAATCATCTTTTGTATTTGTATTTTTTATTTTGATAATTTTCATTGAATTGACTTATTATTTTTTGCCAATTTTTGCTTAGTTACTAAAATTACAATTCTCTTGGAATCTGTGTCTCCAAAGACTTGAATTTCCCAGTGCCCACTGGTTTTGTATATATACATACACATATACACACACATGAGTGGGCATCAAAACCTTATGGAAAAATGGAATTCAAATATAATGGAATTTTTCCACAAACGTTTTGAAACCCTGTTCTATGTCTCACTTCCTTTTATTATCTATTTGGAAAAAGGGCAGTAGGGCAGTCCCCAAACTGAAAAGTCAAAATAGAGCCCAAGGTTTCTCACATCCATGTCCACTTTAGATGACATTTTAATGTGAAAATCTGCACTTACTCAGTTCCCTTTAAGGATCTGGGACCATCCCTGTAACTGAGATACCAAATAATGATAAGCATAGATGCCCATCTAGCCCAAGCAAGGTTACTGTCTGCTGTGGGAGGACTCAGGAAGGATTTAGAAAGGAAAGATGCTTCCTGTGAAAAATGATGCCATTTTCTTAAGCAAAGATGTGTGAAATTATGTGGAAGAGATTTCAACAAGTAGGTGTAAAAGGCATCTTGAACTCAAAGCTAAAAGTCCTTAGAGGACTCAACAATAGATTTATCTGTATGGGGTTCTAGGGAAAACTCAAATGATTTATATTATAATCTTTACTTTTTCTCATGATCCATTCTGAAATTATCCTCTCTTACTTCCTTTATTGTGTGGGGCTGTGGGTTATGCACCAGACTGCAAAGCTGTTTGAACTGCCAGGTCGGTGGTTCAAGCTCACCAGATGCTACTCAGAAACTCTATACAGGGTCCCTACAAGTTCGAATAGGCTCAACAGCACTTAACAACTTCCTTTATGGAGTCCTGGTGTGGCACTCTAGGATACGCACTGCAAAACTGGTGGTTCACACCCATCGGCTACCCCTCAGAAACCCTATACAGCATTGCTATGAGTTGGAACCAAGTCAACAGTACTTATCAACAAGTCCTTTATGAGATTATTGTAACACTACAATCTTAATTATGTAAAGAAACTCACATTTAAACAAATAGTCTCACTATGTAATCTAATAATTTTCCCATATTAAACTTTTACCATTTTGTGAAACATGGCACATTGCAATTATAAGCAATTATAATTACCTTATTTACAATGACTGTTATTGTTGTTCTGTGCCATTTAATTGGTTCCAACTCATAGAAATATATAGGGTTTTTGAACAGTGGCTGGTGAGTTTGAACTGCCAACTTTATGGTTACTAATCCAGTGTTTATGCTACAGCAAAACACCAGGACTCCAATACTTAGCAATAGATTATTTAATCAATGAGAACATAGTGCATGGTGTGAAATATTACGCAAATATCACAAATCAACGCACCATAACCTCACACAGAACTACCCATAGTCTTATGTAAGACCCATAGCAGCCAGCACTACCTCTCACAGGTGAAGATGGACTCTGATGTAATTCCAGGCTCTCTAATGACAACCTTCTCACAGTACCAGTACTGAGATTCATCACGGGCCTTGCAGCACAACAGCGCCTTCTGCAGTTTTCCAAGTGACACTGCTTCCACTTGAAACATGTCAACCTGATTCAAGAGACAGAGAAAAAAAATCTCACAGAAATAAATGGGATACTATGGAGTCCTGGTGTGGTGCAGTGGGTTAATGCACCAGACTGCAAAACTTTTTGAACTACAAGGCTGGTGGTTCAAGCTCACCCGTTGCTCCTTGGAAACCCTATATAGGGTCGCTGTGGGTCGTATTCAACTCAACAGCACTTAACAACAACACAGGACAATTACAGGCAACAGAAACAGCCCAGGGATGACCAGAACCAGTACAGTTCTTAACAAGAGATAATGTCACTATAGTTATCATGAAAATGGGGGTTAAGAAAAGAAAAATAAGAATATTACTTTTCTTTTATTAAAACTATGTTTCTGGCTGTGCTCTCATCTCTCTCTCAGTGACATTTATTCCCTTTATAGTAGCATCCCACGTAATAAATGAACAGATCTTAATAGAAAGACCTCCAGTCTGTGACTTTTCTCTTATTTCAACCTCTGTCACTGTGAAGCAGTCTGTTAGATCATCAGTCAGCCTGCCAACCATGTGACTTAACATTACTATCCTCTCTGAGGCATGTGGAAACACATTTTATCATTCTTCTCTTCTTCCTTATTTTTATTTTCTATTCCTTCTTCCCTGTTTCCTTCCTTCCTTCCTCCTGACTGACACTTTCTTTGCTCCTTCCTTCTTTCTTCTTTTCAATAATCTCTCACCTGTACCTTCCTCTGTAAATAATCACAGAGCACATTCTTGGGTTTGCTGTGAAAGAACATCCTAGGATCTTCATTCTTAAATACAATAAGTCTATGATGTTAAAAGCTCACTGACATCTCGGGAGAGATGTAGAGCTGAACGTAAATGTTAACTGGTTGGAATAACAACAACAAAGGAAAACAGCTTTGCAGATGTCTTCCCTTCCTGTGAGAATTCTTTACATTATGTGCCAATACCAAGTGAACTCTTAATTCATAGAGACCCCATATATATGAAAGCACAACTATGTTTTGCAGATGTCTTCCCTTCCTGTGAGAATTCTTTACATTATGTGCCAACACCAAGTGAAATCTAATTCATAGATACTCCATATAAATGAAAGCACAACTATGTTCAACAGGGTGTTTAGTGACTGAATTTTTAAAAGTAGCTTGCTACACCTTTCTTCTGGGGTATCTCTGACTGGACTTGAGCTTCTAACTTTTCAGTTACCAGACAAGTGCAACCTTTTGCACTACCCAGGGACTCTATGGTTTAGGTAAAAAATAAACTAAAATTACCCGAGTAAAGGGCCGTCAATTTAATGAAATCTGAGAGACTCCTAAAAGTGACAACTGACTCTCCTCCATGGCAGAAATGCAAATCCAGTTTGTATTTTCTGTATGGGTTGGGCTGTCTTCATTACTGCCTGTGTTCTTACCACATTAAATTTCAATTCAACACAGGCAATCCTTGGGTTATGAACATTCCATTTACATATAACCCGTCCTCATGAACCAACATATGGAAAGCCTACTATATTGAAAATTTGAGGTATATAACAATGGTGTGCTACTTTACTATGGGTATCAACACATTATTATGATTATGTTGTTGTTGTTGTTATGTGCCGTGGAGTCGGTTCCGACTCATAGAGACCCACTACAGGGTTTCCAAGGCTGTAAATCTTTACGGGAGCAGAAAACCTCATCTTTATCCCGTGGAATAGCTGGTAGTTTCGAACTGCTGACCTTGCGGTTCGCAGCCCGATTCATAACCACTACACTACCAGAGCTCCTTTATTATGATTATACTCTTATGTTAAACGGAATCCTAGTGTGGTGCAGCAGGTTAATGCACTGGACTGCAAGGTTGGTTTGAACCACAGACTGGTGATTGAACTTCACCAGTTGCTCCTTGGAAACGCTATACTAGGTTGTTATAATTGGAATCAACTCAACGGCACTTAACAACAACAATTATATTAAGGATGTTTTAGTGTTTCTAGAAGTGTTTCTTTAATGAGTTTTATGCATAGAAATGTAATATATAGTAAGACAAACATTTGACTAATTGACCCTAGACATGAACTATAACCAACTTCTCTGGTTGGTGTACAAATTCAATTCAAAGACAGATAGGAATGGAACTTTCTTTCTGGGGACTGTCTGTAATCAAAGCATACTGCCTAGCTCTTAATGGTTGGTTCCACGTTGTTGATGGAAAACCAGATCAGAGCCATTCAAGCAAATTGTCAAGGAGTCAATACCAAGTTGCAATGGCCTTATAGGATGGAGCAGAACGGTCCCTAGGATTTTCAAGTCTGTAATATTTCTCCTCTGGGAAAAGTTTGAATTGCCACATTTTCAGTTAACTGTTGAGCATTTCAGTTAACTGTTGAGCATCTGTTGACCACTAGGGCTCCTTCCAAAGCCATTACCACCCCAATAATAATGCTTCTGTAAAACCAGATTAGGACTGTTTGTGCATCTTACTGGGAGTGTGCTGATGGTCTCCTTGTCACAATCTTGCCTTTCCAGTGTGCCTTTACAAAGGACATCTTGTGATATACATGTGCGCTTGATTCCCCAGCCCATGTTCCAGGACCCACTTGGGGGTTTATCTATCCAGCTGGCTCATAGTTTAGACATGTTGACAACTTGGTATCTCAATCCCTTTTGTCTCATTGTTTCTGTGCCCGAGAGTTTCTCCTGGGGGAACAATTCTGAGAGATGCTCATCAGGATTCCTCTGAAGGTTCTTAGCATGAAGAAACACCAGTAGTAACCATAGATTGACTTTTCCTTCTTCCCTTCACACTTTCCCCAATCTATCACTTCCAGGTGCTTACTTCCTGCAAGGTAAACTACCTGCTCCCAAGTCTTTGTCATATGATATACTTGGGGTAAACCCAACTAAGTTACTTTGAGATCCAGACATTGCCTTAATCAGCTTTCTGTTTTCTTTTTGTAGCTTAAAGCCATTTTAGTTGTGAAGATGATTAAACTGGGTCTTCATGTGTGTGGCTGCTTTTGGGACATTTTGTGGATATAATAGCACCAAGAAGCCCAATCAGTGATTAAGACAATGTTCTGTATACAGTGACTCAATAGTAATTTACCAGACACTTTTATGAAATAGAAACACTTGAACTTCCCAGGGCAATATAATAGTCTAGTTACTATCAAAGCCCTAATTTGCTAAGGAAATCAAGCCAAACTTTAGAAACTTCTGTGAATACATGCAGTTTTCAGATATTGGTGTTATTTCTTGCATGTTTTATACATCTACAGTTCAGAAAATACAGTATTTTGAAGCTGAAGTCCTACCGTGTTTCACTAGCTCATGGTTAAGCATGGGAGTTGTGACTGGTAGAAAATAATTCTTAAAGTCAGTTGACACTTTCATTACACTACATTCATTACAATCACTGAGGAAAACAGTAGAAGCATGTAGAATAAAAACATAAGAACCAGGAAATAAAAACATTTTTATTTCTCTGCTTCTAAACCTCAGAACATATCCTACTAAGTCTACATATTTATTCTTCTTTATATTTTGATTGCAACTATACTGTATACCAAAATTTAATCTCAGTCTGTAATATATCCTCCCTACTCTGGTACATTCTATACACAATGATACATTTTAAAAAATCATAAAGATGACTTTCAAAAGACAATATATAAAGAAATCTCAGCATGCTGCTGTCCACAATGCAGTACCACTACAGAATGCTAGCCAGCAGAACAATTTTATTCAAAGCCTGAACAGAAAATGGCTTGGTCAGAGGGTTTTGCTTGGACTGATGGGAGATCTGAGGGTGTTGAGGTGGTAACTTCACTGACCACTCAGTATAACATGAATAATAATACCATTGCATCTAACACTTTGTTTCTGGTCAAAATTAGTTATTCACTTTTGAGAGTCAGCGAAAGTTAAAGTGACATTTTATTTTCATCTCATCCAAAGCAGAACTAACTTTCCTGTTTCTTCTGATGAAAACTTTTGTGTATTCTGCAGTATGAAGTGAAAGGTATGATGAACTTTAACGTCCCTGATGTTTTAAAATATTGCAGGTAGGTGTGAAAACAACAAAAAAAAGTTTGAGAAACAGCATTCTCAAAGTCGTCCTACTTACAATTGTACCCTTAATTGTCACATAATCTGCTTTACTTTCAGACACTTAAATAATACATTCTTTCTATATAAAACAAAATAATATTACAAATTAATTACATTGATGTATATCTCAGCACAAATTCTCAAACAGCTAATATAAAAAAAGACTCTTGCTTATACATAAAGGACAAAAGATTATTGTGAGGGAGTTTAGTGTAAAAACAATGCAGTTGCCCTGGTTAAGATGGTTTAAAGAAATACCATTGTGTATTATTTGAAAAACACTCTAATGGCCCTTTTGTTGCCTTATCTTTTAGAATAATTTTTGTGCCGTTCAGTCCTGTCTGAATACATTCACATTGTACTTTTCCCTGGTATCTTCTCAACTTTTTTTTTTTTTTTACACTATCACTAATTTTAATCTCTTTTCTTTGTTCTATTATTCATTACTGGTTTAGTGTGACCTATTTTTCTTTCAAGAACATGCTCTAATACAAAGCACAATTGGAAGTCAGGTCAAGGAAAACTTATGTTAAAGATGTCTTAAAAAACTAAAGTTTGAAGAATGTCAAGCACCTCTTAAATTTTAAATTACATGTGGTCATCTTCAGAGGGATTGATAAAAACATAGAAACATTATTCACACATAGAAACATTATTCACACAGACTTACCTGCCCTCTTTGAAATTTTATTGGCATGTTAGAATTGTGCATGAGTCTAAGACCAGAGTCTCCCCTCTCTCCGTAGAGGCACAGGTAAACTTCAGATTCTGTGTCTGCTTGCTTTAATTGTCCAGTGTGGATATAAACTTGGTATCTTACTACTGGCAAAGCAAAGGGGAAAAAAGAAAGGGGGAAATCAACTACCTTAGTGTTTATACAAGCAGAGCCCAGATCCAAGAGTTCTCAGGCTACAGTAAAAAAATGTTACATAAGAATCCCTCTCTTCTTGAATTCCTGTATCTACTGAAAGACTATTGATCCTTCTATTATTAATTTTATTTCCAAATAGTCATTTTTATACTAAGAATTTCCTGAGGGTTTAGAGCTTCATCAGAAAGAGAAACAAAAGTTTTTTTAAAAAAAGATACTATTCTCCTTTGTATGATACAGGAGGATATTTTATACCTACTATTTTAGTAGCAAGAGTAACAATGCTATTGTAAATAATGCTTAGCATTTAAATGACTTAAGATTTGATTAGGACATTAGCCAAAGTGAGACTGTGACACAGGGTGACCACTGTATGCCCCAAGCACAGTCAAATGAGGGCAGTTGGAATCTCTCTTTGCTCTCATAGCCTCAGCTACTATAACTAGATGAAGTCTAAGAACCCAGAACTCTCAGAAAATCACACTGTGTTGCTGAAAAAAGTCACATCTCTATAAGTAAGACGACTTCTTAGAAGTACGAAAAAATATTCTGCAACTAACTGCTACCAAAGTAAATGTAAGTGACTAAAAAGCAATTTGTATATGTAATATATGCTAATGAAAATTATTAACACACATGGAAAAATAGCTTGTCCTTCTTTCACTACCGGAAGCTCACAGACAATATCCCCATCTGCTCGGATGTGAGATAACCATGTGTTGGCTGCAAAATCTAGAGTCTTCTTACTCTTCATGTGTTGCATGGTCACCTAGGATTAGAAGAATATATAATTAAATTTTATGATCTCCAACTTTTCATACAATTCAGAAGTCAAAATGCACCCCAAGGAATGTTGATGGTGGTGGTTGTTGTTATTAGCAGTACAAGCTATTGTAAATTAGCCAGGCATTATGCTAAGTAATTGAAATTACTTATCTCTTTTCACCATCACCAATTTACATTCTGGAGTCCTGGTTTGGTACTGCAGGATACTGCACTGGACCACAAGGGCAGTCTGAACTGCAAGGTCGGTGGTTCAAACCCACCAGACGCTCCTCGGAAACCCTACACAGGGTCACTCTGAGTAGAAACTGACTCGATAGCATTTAACAACCATCTACATTCTGAGTGCACAATATATGCTCTCAGTAACAGTTATGTTATTAGCTACCATGAGCTCGCCCTGATTCGCAGTGAACTCATGTGTTATAAGGTAGAACTGTGTTCCTTAGGATTTTCTTGATGGTAATCTTTATAGAAGTAGATTATCAAGCCTTTCTTTCATTTATTGTTAGTTGTTGTTGTTAGGTACCATCGAGTCGGTACCAACCTATGCACAACCTTATGCACAGCAGAACGAAACACTGCCTAATCCTGGGCCAACCTCACTACTGTTGTCACGCTTGAGTCCATCAATGCTGCCACTTGGCCAATCCATCCCGTTGGGGGTCTTCTTCTTTTTCTCTGACCCTCCACCTTATCAAACATGATATCCTTCTCCAGTGACTGGTTCCTCCTGACAATATGTCCAAACTATGAGAGACCAAGTTTGGCCATCTTGACCTCCAAGAAGCACTCTGGCTGCACTTCTTCCAAAACAGATCTATTGGTTCTTTTGGAAGCCCATGGCACTTTCAATATTCTTCTTCAACACCATAACTCAAAAGCATCAATTCTTCTATGGTCTTCCTTACTCACTGTCCAGATTTTGCATGCATATGAGGTTATTAAAAATGCCATGGCTTGGGTCAGGCACACCTTAGTCCTCAAGCTGATATCTTTGCTCTTCAGTAGTATCAAATTTAGAGATTACTGTTGTTGTTAAAAGTCATCGAGTTGATTCTGACTCATAGTGACCTGATATGGGGTTTCTGAGGAGAGGTTAGTGGTGAGAACTATTGACCTGTGCTTAGCAGTTTAGCACCACACCAGGACCCTATAACAGAAATGAGAGATCAGAATTCTTAACTGATGTTTGAGATTGCTGTGGTTCCTGTCTAGAATTCTCATCCAAAATGTTCACATTTCCTAGAGACAGTAAGTACATGGAAAACCTCAGCCAAATGCTCAGTCCTGTATTATCAGGAAGAGCAAGTCTATTCCAAATCTCTGATTCCTACTCAGGTGAACTGATCATTCCTCTCTGGGAAAACAGATAAAGGCTCCTAAACCAATCTGAAGTAACATCTCCTTGTTTCTCTCTCTTAAGCCCCTGTTGGAATTGTCTAGCTCATTAATAAAAAGGTTTCATAAACAAAAGGCAAAGTGTCCAAATTCAAAAGAAAAAGTTCCCAAATCCTTTGGAATCCCAAAGTTATCGCCTAACCCTTGTCTCCCACTCATACGTAACTTTTCCCAGTAAAACTTTGCAGGAGTTCTGGTCTCTAAAGGACTCAGTGTATGGTCTCCGCAGGTTTTCTCTTACAGAACCTTTTGTAACTTTTGGCAGGAACATTGAAAAAATAGGGTATTCACTGTTTGCTCTCTAACAGCATGATCTTAACTCCTCTCCATTAGATTGCCTCCTGTGCAAATGCTATCCATATTTAGCAGTTCACTGATGGCTCTTCAGACCTTTCCCTAACTTGTCTTAGTGCTCATCTTTAATGCTACCCAGGACTCACACTGGACTAGGGACCAGGTGAAGAGAGGTAAAGGGTAGGAACATTACTGTGGTGAAGTCATCATTTTCCTCCCTGGCCAGATCACCAACTCTTTCTTTCCTACCTGTTGGGAATGAGAGTAAATATAACTGATGACATAGCAACAGTTACTCCCATCCATATGAGGGGGCTTCAAATAGTTCACAGAAAAATGTAATTAAAAGATTAGGGAACTTTCGATACGATGACACGCTACATGAACCCTCTACAACAAAGATGTGAGAGACCAGATGAAACAGATACAGATGAAAATCCTGGAACTTTGAACTTCAGAGGAAAAGTTAAAGAAGTTAATTGATTGTTTGATGGGAGGAGAAGTTGAGCAGGATCAGTAAGAAAGGGAAACTTGTGAGTGACTGGCCAGACACAGTACAACCATCATGAATTTTTGTGAGCAGTCTTGGCAACAAAAGGTGACCAGGCAGAGCAGATTAGCACAAGTGACAGGAAAGGTCCAATTCTTTCTTTTTCCCAACACTCCCTTGGTGACCAGAGGTTTGGCCAGCTCCCACCCTCATTCACATATGGCACAGATTTTGCTCTCTGGGAGTTCAGGGTCATGTGACTGGGAGTCACACCAGAGTGAGTCAAGGACCAACTATGCTGCTTTGGGACCTGGGCTCAGACAACTAGGCTCTGGACTACAGAATTCAGAGACCCACAATACCAGCATTGTTGTTGTTGTTCTTAGATGTCTTTGAGTTGGTACTGACTCAAAGCAACCCTATGCACAATAGAATGAAACACTGCCCAGTCCTGTGCCCACCTCACAATCATTGCTATGCCTGAGCCCATCACTGCTGCCACTATGTCAATCCATCTTGTTGGGAGTCTTTCTATTTTTGTCTGACACTCTTTTTTTTTTTTTTTTTTTTTACTAAGTATGATATCCTTCTCCAGGGACTGGTCCTCTGACAATATGTCTGAAGTATAAGAGATGAAGTCTGGCCATCCTTACTTCCAAGGAGCACTCTGGCTGTACCTCTTCCAACACAGATTGGTTTGTTCTTTTGGCAGTCCATGGTACTTTCAGTATTCTCCTCTAACACCATAGCACAATACGGTCTTCCTTATTCACTGTCCAACTGTTATATGCATATGTGGTTATTAAAAATCCATGCCTTGTATCAGGCACACCTTAGTCATCAAACTGATATCTTTGCTCTTCAATGCTTTAAAGAGGTCTTGTGTAGCAGATTTACCTAATGCGATACATCATTTGATTTCTTGCCTGCTGCTTCCATGAGTATTGTTGAGTGATCCATGCAAGATGAAGTTTTTCACAACTTCAATCTTTTCTGCATTTATCATAACGTTATTTATTGGTATGATGGTGAGGATTTTTGTTTTCTTTACATTGAGGCGCCACCCATAAGGAAGGCTGTGGTCTTTGATCTTTATCAGTAAGTATTTTAAGTCCTCTTCCCTTTCAGCAAGCAAGGTTGTATCACCTGCATATTGCAGGTTGTTGTTAATGAGTCTTCCTCATATCCTGATGCCACATTTTTCTCCATATAATTCAGATTCTCACATTATTTGCTCAGCATTCAAGATCAGAAGTAACCGAGCAGAAACCCTCGCAAGCAGCCAGCCTGTCCCCACCTGCCCTGTGGCCATAACTGACACTGAAAATAGCACTTCATGAACTACTTTCAGACTGAGCACTCTAAACACAGGTAACAGGAATTTTTAATAACTAGAGCAACTTTACAAAAATACCAGATGGAGTTCTTTGTAGTGAGAACCAACAACAGCAGACAACAACCTGAGATTACCATACATGACAACACTACCCAGATCTCATTCAGATATAGAAGTATTTAGAGTAAAACAAATCTACAAGACTGAAAATACAGAACCAGAGATATCAATTTATAAGGAAGTCAACTGTATAGCAAAAAGTCAGGCTAATGTAGATACAAAACTTGCAAATGATGAGAAAGTCAAGTAGATTTCAAGCTAAAACAACTGTTTCAGTCAGAGAAAAATATTAATAAATTACAGGATAATGTCAAAGAAAACTAATATACATTCACATTAAAATAAAAGATTTAGGCAACATTAATACAAAATAATTCAAAATGAAATCCACAAAGCATAGGAAATCATGTCAAACTAAGAAACTAGTAGCACCACAATAAAACACAAAGCAAAATGAGAGCCATTCATTCACTGTTGTTGTTGTTGTTGTTGTTAGGTGCCATCGAGTTGGTACCGACTCATAATGACCTTATGCACAGCAGAATGAAACACTTCCTGATCCTGGGCCAACCTCACTATTGTTGCCACACTTGAGTCCATTGATGTTGCCATTTTGTCAATCCATCTCGCTGGGGGTCTTCCTTTTTTTCTCTGACCCTTCACCTTACCAAACATGATATCCTTCTCCGGCAACCAATCCCTTCTGACAATATGCCTGAAGTATGAGAGACGAAGTTTGGCCATCCTGGCCTCCAAGGAGCACTCTGGCTGCACTTCATCCAACACACATCTGTTAGTACTTTTGGCAGCCCATGGCAGTTTCAATATTCTTCTCCAACACCATAACTCAAAAGCATCAATTCTTCTACGGTATTCCTTATTCACTGTGCAGCTTTTGCATGCATATGAGGTTATTGAAAATACCATGGCTTGGTTCAGGCACACATTAGTCCTCAAGCTGACATCTGTGCTCTTCAACATTTTAAAAAGTTACTGTGCAGCAGATTTGCCTAATGCAATATGTCATTTGATTTCTTGACTGCTGCTTCCATGAGTGTTTATGGTTGATCCAAGAAGAATGAAGTCCTTAACAACTTTAAATTTTTCTCCACTGATAAGAAAGTTGTTTCTTGGTCCTGTGGTGAGGATTTTTGTTTTCTTTACATTGAGATGCAATCCATCCATAAGGCTGTGGTCTTTGATCTTCATCAGTAAGCATTTCAAGTCCACCATGGGTGACCCTGCTGTTATTTAAAATATCCATGGCTTAGCTTCCAGAATCACAGCAACTCATAAGCCACCATAATACTACAAACTGAAAGATGAGTGGTGGGAATGGATTCATACCTACCAATAATTACACTGAATATAAATGGGTGAAATACATCAGTCTAGATAGAGATAG